TTCTCCCCTGCAAGCACCCTCATACAAATTATCGTCACCTCTGGAATAGACTATTATAACAGCCCCGTGGTGGGTGCTGTGATGCATCCGCTCCGCTTCGGAACTGTGGTGTTCATTCCCCCATGTGCTGAAGGTTCATAGCTGCATCCCTCATAGGAACAGCCCTCAGAAAGGAGCTCTCATTCCAGGTTGCTCTTCCCCATAAACACCCGTGTGGGTCAAGTCCTTATCTCATCCATGTTTCTGCTCAAATGCCATCTCACTGCAAAGGCCTTCTGACCACTCCTATGCAAACAACATCCCCTTTGTTCTCCAGCCCTTACTCTGCCTGATTTTTTCTTCATAGCATTTATCAGGCTCTGATACATATTTATTTGTCTACTTGTTTATCATCCTAGAAGTTAAGTTCCAGAAGACCAGGGCACGTATGAGCGCACAAGTGTGTGGTTGTGTGTGCATCCGAGTGCTTAGCCCCAGCATCTAGAACAGAGTCTGGTGGCACATGGCAGACATCTGTATCAGTTTCCTATGGATGCAGTAATAAATTACCATAAATTTAGTGGCTTAAACAGCACAGATTTATTATTGTGCAGCTCTGGAGGTCAGAAGTTTGAAATGGAGGTCAGAAGTTTGAAATAGGCTAAAATCAAGGAGTAGGCTGGGCTGTATTCCTTCTGAAGGCTCTAAGGGGAAAAATACGTTTCCTCGCTTCTGCCAGTTTCTAGAGGCCACCTGCATTCCTTGGTCCATGGCCTTGGTTCTTTATCTGCAAAGCCAGCAGTGAAACATCTTCAAATCTCTCTCTGACTCTGACTCCTCACCTGCCTCCCTCTTCCTCTTCTGAGGATTTTTGTGACTATACTGGGCCCGTGTCATTCATCCAGGTTAATTGTCCTATTTTAAGGTCAGCTGATTAGCAACCTTAATTCCACCTACAGCTTTAACTCCTCTTTGTCAAGTAACCTAACACACTCACAGGTTCTGGGGATCAGGCCATGGGTACCTGTGGTGGGCAGAGGCGTCGTCATTTTGCCAACCATGACACTCAATAAACCTTTGATAAGTAAATTAATGAATAATTATCTAATTTTACTCACTCAGTGAGTAAATTTTTCTCCCATTTTACAGATGAGGGAAATAAGGGTAAGTCACCCTGCCCAAGTTCACACAGCTAATAAATAATGGAGCAGAATTTGAATACAGGCAGGCTGACTCAAGTCCATCTTTGTCCCCACTAGCTTTATTGTCCTGTAGTTTTCAACTCACAAATCTGTCTCCCCCACTAGACTCAAGAGTTCTTGAGGGCAGACGCCGTGGCTTTGACTATTTGTAGCTCTAGAGCTCAGCCCAGGCCTAGCAATGACAATAATAACAGTGGGAATTTATTGAACACTTGCTATGTGCCAAGCACTGTTACAAACACTTTACCTGCACCCAAAAATATTTACCGAGTAAATGTTGAAGGGATAAAACCATCTATTCTCACTGAACCTAAATAGCCACATTTGTAGCTCTATCTAATACTCAAGCTCTATACTAAATGTACAAATTCAGTCATATTAAGTTGGAGAGGCTCTAAAATATCAAGAGTGGGTTTATTTCTGTCTTCTGGTCTGAATCCAGAATCCCAACTCATCATCAATCAGCCTGTCTAATGAATGAACACTCACTGTGAATAGATTTATCCGTTCTAGATTACGACTTTGATTTGACAAACTAGAAAATAATGACTAAGAGACACAGAGGTCTTCCCCATTTCCTGAGCGCTCTCATGGATGCATTAAATTCTCAGAACCGCACTGCACACAGGGTAGGAGGTAACGTGGCTCCCACGGCATCCCAAGGAAGCCTGGCCTCAGAAATTCTCAATAGCTAGCCCAAGGTCACCCGAGTAGTAAGGACGGCAGTCCTGCCTTCCTGTCTGCTAATTCCACACTTCTCTACTACATGGTGCTGCCAAGTAGAACATCATATGCCTTTCAGAAGGGACTGTCCGTGCAGACTGGCAAAACTCAGCTTCCATGTGGATCTGTGGGGACTCTGCCAGCTCCTCAAGTCTGGTTTTCCCACTCTTTCAGATCTCCCAACTCTCCCAATTACGAGGTTTACAATTTCTCAGTCTGCACAATGGAAGAGCGGCCCTAAGAATTTAAATCACTCCATACAGGTTATTTTAAAAATAATAATAATAAGGAAAGGGGATAATTGCCATTGGGATGGTTTTTTATTTGTCTTGCAAAAAATTTTTTACTGAATATAAATTGTGCATGACATAGGATTCAGGGGAAAGAATTTGGCAGGTTTAGGAGATTTCTATTCTGTTTTCTTTTTATCCACTTTTCTAAGCATCCTTTCTGTTTCCACTGTGCTTTGAAAAGAATGCGAGAGAACTCAGGCTCTGGGGTAAAGAGAAAAAGAAGAATCCTAGAGTTACGGAGCCTGGCTAACCCCTTTTCTGTGAAGGTCTGTGTGCTCTTTTGTGCGGTAATGAAGAGATGGAAAGAAAAGAATTGTCCCACATTATCCACCACTAGGCCAGCCAAAAGGACCTCTGACTCGCGGAGCGAAGCACACCCCGCTGCAGGCTAATTCCCCTCGCCTCTTCGCTGCCAGATGACACGCTCAGAGAATGGCTCTGTCCTAGCAGTGATTGTCTGTGATTTGTGGGTCAGGAGCTGCCACGGGAAAAGTATCTAATTCCACTTTCACACACTTGTGGTGTCAGCAACCCAAATACAGAAAGCTATTTTGGCCACATTTTAACTATTCGACTTAAAGGCAACAGCACAGAAAAAGAAAGCCCACCTGTTGAAACCAACGAAGAAATCTCCTAAGTCATTTCTGGGCTTAATCATACTGAATTCACCTCCCCTAACATCCCATAAGGTTTGTTGTTCCAAGAGACTATGAGGCTTCCAAGTCCGATACGTACTGCACATTCCAGCCGGAGAGGACTTTCAAAGACACAGATTTCTTCCCTTTAAGGTGATTTTTCAAATTGTCATCAGAGAGATTTTTCTAAAACATAGCTCATTTATCCCATAGATACATATTCAGTTGCAATTAAGTGCCAGGCACTTTTCTGGGTATGTTAAGTGATCAAGGCAGGCAAGTATCTGCGTTTGTCCAGACAGAGGAGACAATGTCACTAAAGGAAACAAACCAGATTATTTCAGATCACTGCTTAGTCATTGAATCCAAGTGGGTCTTGGGATAGAAAGTGACATGCATTGGGGGGAAACTTAGGTGGAAAGTCACATCTGACCCAAGGCCTTAGAGACAAGAGGGGAACGGATTATGCCAAGATCTGAGAGAAGAGCATTCCAGACAATGGAAAGAAGAGATCCAGAAGGTAGAAATGAGTGTGGCTCTTTGAAGAACACAAAGAAGGCCCAGGAGGCTAGCAGGTGGTGTGAAAGGGGGGGAAAGTGGTCGAGCTGACGCAGGAGAAGTGAAGCAGGCGCCGGGGTGGCAGTGGGAGAAGAGAATAGACATGTGTGCTCAAGACAGTTTGAAGGTAGAGCTCCCAGTACTCTCCAATGGATTTGACCTGGGGAAATTGGAAAAAAAAAAAATAACCAAGGATGATTCTGGGCTTAGGGTTTGAGCAACTGAGTGGATGGCAGTGCCATTTTGAATGAGGGCAATGAAAGAAAGTAAGCTGGGAGAAAAATAAGCATTTTTATTTGACTATGTTACAAGTATCCACTAGGCATTCAAGTGAAACGTCAAGTCAATAGCTGGATACACAAATCCAGAGGGAAATAGGAAGTTTGGGCTAACTATATAAATTTAAGCGTCACTGCCATAGATCCCTGTTATTTGAAACCATGGGATTCATAAGGAAGAGAAGAGCCTAGGGCACTCCAATGTCCAGAGGTTCAGTGGTGGAGGAGGGACCAGCAAATGATAGTAAGAGACAGTGGCCAGTGGTGGGAGGAAGACAAGGAAACTGTCACATAATGAGCCAGAAGAAAATGACCAAGAAAAAGGGAGCAATTCACTGCATCAGATTTTGCTAAACAGTTTACTTTAAAAAGAGAGAGAGCGAGAGAGAAATGACCCATGGATTTGGCAAAATGGAAGTCACCGGTGACCTTGAGAGTTACAGTTTCAATGGAATGGTGGGTTGAAAAGAGGAATGAGATCTTGTCCTATCATTACCACTTTCCCATTTGAAACTCATTAGCGGTTCTTGTCCTGCCCATAAACGGATAAAGGCTGCATTCCTTTCCATAAAAGTAACTTCCTGACATGGAACTCTATAGAGGAAGTCAGTAATTGTCAGGGTTCTTAGCTGCAAACAGAATCCACTTTACTTTATGTGAGCAGAAAGGGATTTATTTATATCCATTAGGTATCTCACAGAATACCAATATTCAAGAACTAGGCTTGAATCCCATTATAATCAGAAATAACAAATATGGAGCCACATTGTCAGGACAAAGTTCCCACTGTTCCATAGGACTGTTCTAGTATGAATGGACCTAGAAGCTCCACCACAGTTGCCCCAGAAGAAGCATATGCCCCCAGCACCATTCCTGTCAGAAGAACCAATCTGCCCACACAGTCAACACCTCCTGTTGTTCATTTCAGCCTCCTGTTGGCAGATCTTTGGCCACATGTAGATCCTGTAACTACAAAGGAGTCTGTGGAATCTACAATGTCTATGGCACCTTCCAACATCTATTTCTCCTTCTTTTGGGGGTGTATTTCATCCTGATTTTTGTTAACCTCGTACTACCCTGGATTTGGAGGAAGCTGCCTCTAGTCTCAACTTTTGGGTCATGCTTGTGATTGGTCTGTGGCAATGAGCATAGCTTCCACTTCCAGCCACAGATATAAATTCAGGAATGAATATATGACCTACCCAACTCAGGCTGGTTAAATGAAGTAGACATTTGCTGGAGGCTTCTATAAAAGAAACTACCTTAATCTTCCAAGAGAGCTCCCAGAAATAATCTTCTCTCTCTATTCTTGAACGAAAGGCTTACCTTCAAGGAAGAACATATCCTGGGGGGAGTGAGTTGACAACCATCTTTTGGCTAGAGAGGCACCAGCCTAGAATGAAGCTGATCCTGCAGAAGCAGAGGAGAAACACAGAGAGAAGGCAGACTTTAAGAACATTCTTGGGCCACTGAAACAAACCAATTCTGAAATCTGCCCTACTCCTGGACTTTCCAGTTCCATAAATGAATAAATCCCTTTTAATGTTTAAGCAAGTTTGAACTGATTTTGATTAGGGGCAATGAAATGCTTTATAATTGATTCAGACTCCAATCTACCTCTTGGGGCTCATTTCTTAACATTTTTCATATCTAGGCACATCAGCTCATTTACTTTAAACCACCAGAATTCTGTTAAGACTGGTCACTCTATCTGGATGCCCTTCCTTCCTTTACTCCTTTACTGCCTGCCTACTTCCTCCTTACACTTAAACATAGCTAGAATGTCACCTCCTCCCTGAAGCCTTTCTGGATTTCCCTTAACTTGCTCTATCATAGTATGCATCACTGTCTGGCCAGTATTATGGTAACTCTTAAAGACATGTGCCCCTACATTAGCTCATAAGCTCTCTGAGAACCAGAACAGTCTCTTTGTCCTTAATGCCTTTCAAAGGCTGGCACTGTCCTTGTATTCATTAAGTATTTGTTAACTTTCCGGTGATTCCCAAAACTATGTGGGCAGTGAAGATTTCCTGTGTTGTGGTCTTATAGATTCATGTGCTGAGACAGCCTTGCAGAAATGTTCTAGTCAATCTCCAGAGAACAAAGTGGTCCTTGATGAGAGCTCCTCCTGGAACCACCTAATCACCGTCTCATTTTCCTAGGAGAGAAGTGAAGCCCAGAGAAGGGAAGGTCATGGGCAGTCGAGGCAGAGTTCAGTCTTGAAACTGGTGTTGCCTAATTCACCATTCATTCTGCAGCAACAAGCTGCTTCTTTCCTATAGGCCCTGAGAGCCGAGGGGGAGCGGCACTGACCATCATCCTGGATATCTCCGGTGTCTGTGGTCTGCCCCTTTGCCATGGCCATCTTTCAAGAGCCCTTCTGCTCTCCACCTCCCTCGCAGCTAAGTGGAGAAGGCACAGATGGAAACTACATGTAAAGGGGACGATTCTCTCTCTCCTGTCTTTCCTTTGACGGGAAGGGAAAGACCTTATTCCTCTTAAAGGAATTTCTTTTTTTCCCCCCCTTGCTTTATTGAGAAATAATTGGCAAATAAAAATTGTATATATTGAAGGAGCACAATGTGATGATATGATATATGTATATGCTGCAAAATGATTACCACAATCAAGCTAATTAACAGACCTGTTACCTCACATCATTGCCATTTTTTTTATGTGTGGAAAGGACACTTAAGATTTTACTCTCTTAGCAAATTTCAAGTATGCAATACAGTATTATTCACTATAGTCACCATGCTGTACATTAAATCCCCAGATCTTAATCGGGCCACCTGGGTGGACGAGTCAGTTAAGCATTTGACTCTTGGCTTCGGCTCAGGTCGTGATCTCAGGGTCGTGAGATAGAGCCCCACCCTGGGCTCTGTGCTCAGCGCAGAGTCTGCTTGTCCCTCTCCCTCCCCCTCTGCCTTTCCCCCCATTCTCTCTCTCTCTCTCTAAAATAAAAAAAAATTTTTTTAAGCCACAAATCTTGATGGTCTTATAATTGGAAGTTTGTGACCTTTAACTGTTGAAGGAAGTCATCGAGAGGATATAACCACTGGTAATGGACACAGGTAATTGGAGGCTGTGTGGAGGCTCCAATGTGTGGAGGCTCCCACACATTGACCATTTTCAAGGTCACAGCCTCAAGAGAAAAATGTGTTGTTGGGACGATCTGGACGATATACCTGACTAAACCTTGTTAAGGCCTCTATGTAAACTTTAAGATTCTTACGGGCTGGTGTAGAGATCTACTCATCTCATAGCCATCCAACACAAGCCTCGTGCGTAAGTTCCCTTGCTTATTAAAACTGACCACCATTTCCATGTTTCCCTCAACCGCCAGTCCCTGACTACCACCATTCTAATCTCTGTTTCTGTGAGTTCAACATTTTTTAGATTCCATGTATAAGTAAGACCCTACATTGTCTCTTTGCTTGGCTTATTCTACTTAGCATAATGTCCTCCAGGTTCATCCTTGTCCCAAATAGCAGGATTTCCTTCTTTTCTATGGCTGAATAATATTCCATTGTGTGAATATGTGTGTGTGTGTGTGTATCTCGTATTTTCTTTATCCAGTCACCCCCTGATGGATCCTTGGGTTGTTTCCATATCAGAAATTTCTGAGCTTGTATGAAAAGGAGGAGAGATTGAAAGAGGGTAGGATTTTCCCATGACATCTACTGCTTCAGCCACCTCCTCTTGCTCTGGGGCATTTGACCCCTCTGAGAAGCAGCTGCTGGCTGGGGTTAGAAATGGGGGTGAGAATAGTGGCAGAGTAAGCTCCGTGGCCACCCTGGACCCTCCTTCCCAGTCTGGCTCTCTCCTGCCTGGCCCTGTGCACTCTCCTGTCTGACAGGCTTCATTTCCAAGACTCAGGCTGGCAGGTACCTTCCAGGCAAGGGAGCAACATGCCTCAGGGTTCCAGAGGACAGAACACAGGATGGTGCCTCCGGGGGTCAAGGAAGGCTTTAGGAACAAGGTGATGTTGGGGCTCATACTTTAAGGATAAAATGAGTTTGCAAAGTGAGGAAAACATGATGATGGTGCACAGGTGGGAAGATGGTGAAGGACCATCAAGGATCAAGGGTAGATCAGGAACCAATGCAAACGCATAAAGGACTTCATTGGTGGCTCCCCCAAATGATATGTCCATGTCCTAACACCTGGAACCCATGAATCTGACCTTATTTAAAACAGGGGTCTTTGCTGATATAACTAAGTTAAGGATCTCAAGGAGAGTTCCTCCTGGATTATCCTGGATTATTATGACAGGTACCCTTATGAAGGAAAGGCAGAGGGAGATGAGAGACAGGAGAGAAGGGAAAGGCCACAGAGGAGAAGGCCACGTGAAGAAGCAGGCAGAGATCAGAGGGATGCTGCCATGCCCGAGGAACACGTGGAGCCATGAGAAGTGGAAGAGGCAAGGAAGGATTCTCTCCTGGAGCCCTCAGAGGGAGCATGGCCCTGCCAGCCTTGATTTTAGGCTTCCGGCTTCCCCAACTGTGAGAGATGATGTCTCTGGTGTTTTAAGCCACCAGGCGTGTGGTAACTTGTCACAGCAGCCCTCAGAAGCTAATACAGATGACCAGCTGTTCACTGTGTCAGGAATCCGGCGACCCCTCTGTTTCCGCTTTCTATCAGCTATGGATCCAAGCCATGCTACCCTTCACCTTTCTGGCGAAGAAACCAGCCACCTACAGCTAGCCTGGCTTCTCTTCAAGGAAAGCCAGGCTTGTCAGTCAAAACCAGACACCACAGTGAGGAGACCTAGGTTTCTAAAAAGGGCCAGGCTGACATATGCTAATCTACTGATGCGAAGGGGCTCGGTCCCCGGTCCCTGGTCCCCTGGAGGATGAGAGCCACCCTCACCTCTCACTCTGGGACGCGCTGAAACTGGAGGTGTCACTCAACTTGGTGAAATCAGAGAGGGAGAACTGCCCCTTGGGCAAAGGTCTGCAGTGAGGACACCAGACTTGAGAACTGAAGAGAAAACCGTGCGGGGAAAGAGAACCTGAGAGAGAGGAACCCAAGGGCACAAAGTCAGACATCGCCCGGAGGACCTCGGGCCTTTTCTGGCGTGGAATAAAACAAGGAGGAAGTATCTGCATTTTGTAGCTTGATGCGGGATGTCCCTTCCTGGATCTGGGAAAGAGCCTCAGACAATGACCACATTGTCTGGCTGATGGGTCTGCCGAGGCTGGAGGGGTAAGGTGGGGGAAGGGAGTGGCCCTGGGAGCTTCTCTTCTCTGGGACCAAGGGCGCTGTCCTCTGCAGGCATCCATACGCTAGACAAGTCATGTCAGGTGATGACAGCAGCGAAGACCCCCACCCCAGCCAAGCTGGGAGTAAAACCGAGCTACGGAGGAGGGCTTTCAGTCGGGGAGGGCATGATCAGATGTGCTTTTTATAGAGGTTTCACTGTAAGAGCAGTGTGGGAAATGGAGTGCACGGGAAGAAACTGGTGACAGAAGGATCATGTTCCAGAATGTTTAAATCACAGTCCAAGAGAGATGAAGAAGAGCAGACGAAGGCAGTGGTGGTGTGGGCAGAAGCGCTGACTGGGGACTGAGCTGGGAGCTGTGCTGTGAACCAAGATCTGGACAGAAGGCAAGAGGCAGAATTCTCCATCTGATTCCTATTCCCCAAAAACTGGGGCTGTTGGGGGCACCAGGGCTACTCAGGGATCGAGAGACTTGCAGGGCATCTCCACGTTTGAGGCATTTAGTACTTTGTATCAAAAGAAAGAAATGCAAAAACGGGGCCAAGTAAACTGCAATATCCCTGAAATATTTGCTTTTAAAAAAAAATGATGGCTTTTCAACCACATGAACAAAGCAGTTCCTGTTTGTTTACTCTCCAAAGACAATCAGAGAAATCATCAATGAGTTTACTATACCATCAGGGCTCATAAAGCGACAGAATTTTCAGTGGCACACGGAGAGTCTTCTCCCAGGCTTGGCAGGGCCTCACTGAGACTGTGTGCATAACCCTGCTTTGAGATGAGGTTAAAAATAGACACCAGGGGCTTGACACAAATGTGAGGCCTGAGCATGCGGTCCTCGGGAATAAACACTGAGGCCTGGTGGTGGATACTCTGACAGTTGAACCCTGAAAACCTGCCCAAAGAAATAATTAATCCAAAGCTGCTGGCTGGAAAGAGTTAGAAGCCAGCAGGACGGGGCTGAGGAAGTGCTGGAAGCAAAGGGGGAAGAGCCCGGAAGCATTCCCAAGCCCACCAGCTGGCAGGCACGTGGGTAGGGGTAGGGATGTGCTCGGAGGGTTGAAGGAGACAGCCTGGGGCCACTCTCCCCGCCTCTAGCAGACTGTGCCAGAATAAAAGCCTGTTCCATGAGGCCCGGTGCTTCCAGTCGGGTGGCAATTTGTCTCCTGCAGAAAGCACTCTTTTG